AATAAATAAGAAGCTTGGGGGTTTTTAATATGAATAATGAGAAATATTTTTTACGACCTTGAAAATTGTAGAAATATGCAGTTGTTTTTGCATTTTTTTAATACTCTTCTGTGACCGTGCCAACACTCATATACATATTATAAGCAAATCTCACGAGTATTTAAAAATAAAAACCAATCAATAAAAAAACAAATCAAGTATTTGAACAATTTGAGCCTTACACCGTTTATTTAGGCGAAAAGTATCCAAATTACTCAGTTTTTCATTGTTTCTCGAAAAAATCAGAATTGTTTTTTTTTTAAATAACTTTGGGAAGTATTAAAACAGAATGTTCTTATTAGAGGCAATGGACGTTGGATTCAAATACAACACATCTGTGAAGTTTCAAGAGTGTGCCATCAAATTAGAAAAAATGCCAGCATGAAGAATAATAATTTTTGAAATTGCACGATTTTTTAATTTTAGTAATTTTAGATATGTACTTCAAAATGTTAAAATTTCCGGCGAAAATAAAATACAATGAGTAAAAGACGACCACGATTTGGCAAACTAAAATTCCATTTTTACAATTTTTATTGGCATAATCCAAATTCATTCTAAAATTGTTATGTACATAAAGAAAGCAATATATAAGTACATACTTATGTGCACCAATTAAATAATATGACCAGGGCCAAAGAAAATAAGCAGGAAAAACTCCATTTTAAACGCTTAGATAAGCTTAGATAAGCACTAAAACATTGGTAAATACGCTTGCAAAAATGCTCGCAAAAATTTCAAAATTAAGTACAGTTTAATGTTTTGCTTTTTATTCAATTTATTTTAAGGATTGAAAAATTACAATGGACATGCAATTGGTGCTTGATATTCTCAAATAATAGAGGTCTGCACTGTTTGTTTTAATTTTTTAAATATTCGTTATTCTCCATTTGAGATAAATTTTTTTTAATCTCTTCAGTAACACAAATGCCTTCCCGTAGACACGAACCATTGATTTTAAATTTTCATATCTAAGCACAAATGCAATTGAAGTTACAGGTCAATAAAAACCGAATCTTTTTTTTTGTGTTATTATTTGTAAACATTTCCTTAGTTCGACGAATAAAAAAAAACCCAAGAAATGGTCAAGAAAAATTTACTGAGCCAAATTTTCTTAAGCAGTATCACGTTCTTAAGAAATTTGCTAAGCTTTCTACTATGGTTTGCTAAAGTTGGTTTGTTTAGAGTACAAGGCACCCTTGTTTTCAACAGAAATACATATATGCCCATTCCATTAATTCGTAAGGAAAAAGTTAGACAGCAGGCTGTAAAATATCAGATGTCAAAATGGACACTACTATTCACACACACTATATAATCGCAATTTAATTCTTGACCGTTTACTTAAAAGGTCCGTACTTAAGGCCAGTATCAGCTCTCAAGAAAAGCAAAAACTCCATAATAAAATGAAGTACAAGAAATGTCTAAGAAATTTTCTTGTGTAAAATTTTCTTGAGGCAGCACGCAGTTCTTACGAAATTTGCTACGCTTTCTGCTACGGTTTTCTAATGGTTGTTTTTCGAAAAAAGAGCACAGGGCAACCCATGCTTGTAACAGAAATATATGCCCGTTCCATTATTTCTTGAGGAAAGAGTGGGGCAACATGCTGGTGAAGTATCAGATATCAAAATTCCTTGTACACACACACTCACACGAAATAATGGCAATTTTTTCTTGACCGTTTTCTTAAGAACTGAATACTGGCCTTTAGCTGTAAACATTGAAATAAGCAAAATAAGCAATTCCCAGCAAAAGCTTAAACTTTTCGGCCCTGAATACGACTTTGAAGTTAAAGCGTGTGTATGGTGCTTCGGGGCGTATACGTTACATGCGCAATTACGGGTATTGTTTGAGCATGAATGGTTATTTTAACTTTTTTTTTTGGTTATATATTTTTTAAATTTTCACTTAAATATACAATTTCGCGATGGAATCTTGATCTTTATACAAAACTGAAGATAATGCATTATCTAAGATAGGCGTAACACCATTTTCGACTAAAAACACGCTTTTGACAAAAGATTTAACACTCAATCTCACGAGTGAGCTCATATAAGCAGCAATTGGTTCAGGCATACACTTGAGTATATGGACTCAAAATGGTGTCAAATTATATGGGGATGTATTGCAGGATAACAAGTTTCGAGTCAACAGGCGATACAAGACGACAGCACACATTGTTCCGACTAGGTTAGATAAGAAGTTAGGATCATTTGTAACCTTTGTTTTCTAGCAGCTATATTAACAGAAAAAGCGCCGATTTTTTCAAAGAAATATTCGTAGACACAGGCTAGAGCTACATATTCAAACATACAAATAATGGCTGTATTTCTTTAATCTTTCTGAACGTTTGGAATACACTTTTTTGTTTACTTATTCTTTAGAACGTTCCTGATGATATGTTAACGTATATTTCAAACACATTCTGTTTATTCCGGCTGTGAAATGGGATTATCCGGAATGTATAAAGAAACGCAGCCAATATCAAAAATGTCATTTACTATCTTCGCATTTTACAAAATATTCCACTTCATCACAGTGTAAACAACATATTTTTTTCGTGCGACGATTCCCATATGTAGGTCGATTTCAATGATAAAAGTCAATTTTTCAGAGTTTACCTACAACATATCGAGCTTTACACTGTTTGTTTGATGACAGGATATACTTCGTCCTGTCCTCGTTGACCACCAGACTCATTCGCTTTGCCTCGGTGAATTTTACAACATGTACTGTGAAAAAGATTTTTCTACCTAGGATCTAGGTCCTAGATGTATCGAAATTATTTTAGTAACGGTACTCTAAGCTTAAATTTCTCCGAAAATGCTTCTATAAAGCAAACAGTATATATGTAAGTATCATGGCTTGAACCATTTTCAGCCTAAATGTAGGCAACAGCATGTCAACGAAATTGTTAAAATATTTTATTTCGGCTGAAAATCATTATGCGCAAAAACCTATACTATGTGGGGTTAGAAATCTTTACTATGCCAGCTGATAGTTCAGAGTGATGTCTTTGAAATGTGCTTATTTTTTAAATATGAACTTGTAGGAAGTTTCGTATTCTTAAAATTCATAAATAAATAAAAAATTTTCGACGCCCGAATGCAACCGAAAGCCTCCTTAACAGTCGGCATGCCAGAGCTAAGCGCTGCGCCTCTGATACTCTTCACTGGAAATCATAGCGAAATACTTCCTCGATACCGAATATTTTAACAATAAAAAAAGCCTATTAGAGCGCACACGATTTGAGATTGTACAGCGCAAAGTAAACGGTAACCAATTTTGGCGCAAGCCACATATATATTCACCAACTGAGAACCAACATTAGACATTTTCTTGTTTTCCAATATTAATTGTTTATTTAAATAAATTTCATATCAATAAACATAAATAATAATAACATATTCTCTAATATTGGACTTTCATAGTTATTTTTTTTTATTTTCTTTTTTTTTTATATATGCTTAAGCATATATGTTTATATATGTATATGTGTATATTAAATAATTATATATATATATATATATGATTATAATTAATATAAATAAAGTATATGGCTTATACATATAGTAAACTATACGAGTATGTATGTATGTATCTGTCTGTAAGTGTATTTTAGATGCGAACGGATTTTCAGTGATGGGCCGATAGTGGAAACAAATTTCTTAACGAATTTTAACTTAAAACAGCGCCCTCTTTTGCTTCTCTTGACCCTAATAGTATTTCATAATATAATAGTGTTTCACAGGTGGCTTTGCGTAACAGATCACGTCGTTTGCGACATGTTAAAAGTATTAAAAAAAAAAATAGTGCTTGTGAGTAGGATAGAGAAATAAAAATTTAAACCAAAAAAGCAGCGTTTCATTGAGCCATGGAGCAAGGCAATTGCAGTAGGCGTAACCAGTGCGTTAGGCAGTTACTCTAAATAGTCTATCACTTTGTTTTCGAAACTATGAAACTTTTTAGAATTTGAATTTTAATTAGTGTTTTTTCTAATTTTAATGCATATAAATTTCAAAGTTTTTTTTCTATCATTTGCGCGCATGCCAGATGTGTAAAATTCTTAATAATAATCTTTACGTAGTTAGAAAACATACTATAAGCTAATAATTTTTTTGAATAGAATTTATTGTTCTCAACGCGTACTGTAGTGTACATTTATTAAAGCTTTCGTATAACTAACAAACCAGTACACAAGCAACGCCTAGCTGTTTCTTTTTTTGCGCACTGCTCACTGTGTGGTTGGCAGGAGAGTCAGCGAGCGAGGGTGATGGCTCTCATATGCCCTGTGTAGCACGCTGTGTTCGATTGAGTTGCGGGTAATTGAAATTTTGTTGATTTGGTTGGGCTATTTGTTTGCTTACTGGTAGGGAGTGTGTGTGTGTGTATGATATAGAAAACTATGAATCGTTTTTTCTTGTGAGTGTTTAGTAGTAGTAGTCAGCCGATATACATACATAAGTGCTATGCTTTTTAAATTATTACATAATTTTTCGTTTTTAATTTTTAATTTTTAATTTTAATTTAGTACACGGTTTGCGTCTTTCATTATTCACTAGGTGTTTACTTCCTCTGCTTGTATGTAAGTCTACCTTTAGGATTATTATTAGTTATTTTTATTATGTATAGTAAAATTGTTTACATACTATAAAATTCATATTACTTTAGCGTGTAATTTTATATTATTATTTTTTTATATTTTATATATAATATATTGTTTAAAAAGACACTGACTGTTTGACTGACTGTTACAGTTGTATTGGCGCATTGATTTCACTGGTTACATGCATGGGATAGCTTTCGATTGTGCTTGGTAACGTACATATGCGCTTAGTGCTGCAGCTTTTTAAGCTTTTGTGTCTCGAGAAGATTTCATAATATAAATTCACTGGTTTAATGAGAAATGAAGTATTTGTTTTGTAGCCATTGCTTGGCATTTGCCGGAAGCAGGCGTTAGGTGCGACTTTGAGTCACGATATTATCTACAGGCTTTCGTCAAATCTTTTGAGGCACACAAAGCACTATGAGACAAAACCTTTTACGTTGGTCGGCAGAAAATATGGGTTGGAAGAAAATAATTTTTTTTTTTTAGCATTTAAACATATTTTTCATTAATATTTTGCAGTGTGAATCAAAAAACAAATAGATTTTGGAAAAATTAAAGGAAACAAATAAAATCTTTACAGACAAATATTTAACAAATAAAGTAGCTTTGAAATTATTTATGTACAAATGGGAAAACTGCTGCTGTTATTGTAGCACTGGAGCTATCACTGAATTTATCGTAGTCCGATTTTTTGTGTAATCTACAAAAATTCTATCACAGAATTTTAATAGCTACGAACGTTGCATATACTTTAAACACCTAAGTTCGTAGCATTTCGTATACAGTGATCGCATTTTCGTAAATTTAACAAAAAGCGGACTACGACGTCTTCAGCGATAGCCACGGGTATCCGTTAGAATTTCAGTTTTAATAAAAATACTAATAATCACTAAAAATACAAACATTGAACAAAACTTCTCAGAACAAAATAAGTCGCTGTGACATGATTTAGCATCGTATAATTCAAAGTATCTATCATGGCTTAGCACCTCCTTAGCAAGCCAAATATATGTAAGTAACAAAAATTTATTGTAAATAACGGCATGCGGTGTTATGCATGTCTATAAAAGTGCATGAATATAAACCTTTATGGTTGGTAAAAATAAAATAAAAATTATTTACAATTATAGCATTTCAATAACAGTAATAACGCAATGCTAAATACTAACAAAAAATATGTTTATTTTTATAATCACAACTAAATTTTCACCCAATACAGCTTATGCATCTCCATATCATTAACTCACTATAGCTTTAAGCTAGCATAGGCGCTACTCATTTCCGTTTCCTTTATGCACTCCATTTTTTTTTCTCTGCCAATATGCAACTCAAGTCAGTCTCTTTTTATTTGTGTCATTTTAATTTATGGATTCGTGTTTACCTTGTATTCGTTTGCTTTTCTGTTGTTTTTTTTGTTGTTGTTTGCTGTATGTTTACATGTTTGCATCTTTCAGCAATGGCACGACATATTTCAGTATATGTTGAGAGAGCTCCATTTCGTATTTTCTTTACCTTTATGCTTGTGGAAGATTCTTAGTTTGTATGTATGATGCATTGCTGTACTTTCAAATTGGCTATTGCTGTTGAGTTTAGGTAGGTTTTCTATCTGTCTACATACGTACATACATATGTATAGATGCAATTGGTTGATTTGATTTTCGTAACTGATTCGTCGATTCTGCTTGTATAATGCCAAAATTGTGGATGATCTTAATTTCTTTTTCAAAATATTTTTTTTTTTGTAAAATGGCCCGGAAAATATTATTTTTTTTTGTGTTTCAAAATTTCGCTCATATGTCCTGTTGCAGTTACTTAACTAACTCTAAATGTATGTATGTAGGTAAGGTATTTGCCACGAATTGTCGTTATCTGATTATTTCTGTTTATTTTCTTTGCTTTTTTTTTGCTTCCGCCTAACTCGTTTGTTTCTATTGTTGTCTCTTATGTCTTCGTTTTCACTAATATGCTCTGTTATTTTTTTTTGTTTCTTCTTTTGTTTAAATTATTGTTTATCTACGCATATGTTTCACTAGGTTAGGGTATTTTTAGCTTAAACTTAGTTTTAGGTTTTGGTATAGCGTCATCGTTTGCATATTCCTCCTGTTCAGTTGCTTTTTTAGTGTTGTTTTGACACAGTTAGCACTGATTTTTCATATTTTTTGTGACTGCTGCTGGACAGTGTACAGCTGCATTTAACGTGGCCGCGTACCCTTGTAGTTGGGATTCGGATGACGCCCTTGCGTATGTCGTGGAGCAGCTATAATATATATAATTATTAAAATTTAATAGACATGTTGGTGAGAAAGTAAGCATCTTAACGAACCTGGTATCATCATATTGACAGTTGGATACATGCCAGCGACGGGCGCCATTGCAGGTCGCAACTCTGTTGAGGGTGAGCGGCGGCTGTTCGGTAGAGCGACTGAGGGCTAAAAGTATCACAAGAAGGAAAATACATTAGTAATTGCTTAGCCAATATGTGAAATCCTAACAGAGTTATTAGTTGCAAAAGAAAAAATGAGCGGAAATCCTTTTAATGAAAAATAAAGGCATTTGGCCTTTAATCCTTAATAACGATCCACATCGGACATTTTCAACGGCATAAGGCTACCGAGTTTCTCAGCAGCAATACAAGAATATAATTCCTAAAGATCAGGATCCCAAGCTTGGTGGGTTTCTGATGAGAATACCGAGGCGGCCTATATGGGACTATCTATGGGCACATAATCAATCGTATTTCTAGTGTAAAATTTTGTAATTGGAATTTGTGCTTGCGAATGTATTCGAAGCAGGTCTAATGAGGCCAGGAAAAATATCAAATGTTGTTCCTTAAAGCCGATCTTGACCAGCTCTCTAACGTGGCTGGCAACATTTCTTTAAGGGCCAGTTTTTCAGTGGCAGTTTAAACTTAGATCACTGACCTTAATCGTTCTAATATTCATTGTTGACTACTTACGTGTGCAAAATACGTTTGGCCGTACTTGATGTAAACGCCCGATGCACCTGGCTGATAAGCGCTCAAAAGCGGTTGGTGATGCGCCACTGTCGCCGCCACGGCCGCTGCAGCCGCATTCGCCACTTCTGCTGCCGCGGCGCCACCTAACACTGCAGCTGTGGTGGCCTGTTGTGTACCCGCCAGTCCGGCTGCCGTGCCGCCAGCAGCAGCGGCGGCCGCCACCATACCACCGTGTTGCAGTTGTGGTGGAATATGTGCGCCACGTGCTGGCGCAATGTACAATGGTGTGCCAGTTGCTGTTGCAATCGCTTGATGATCGCCACCACCAGCGACCATAGTGCCGCCAGCTATGCCGATGCCAGTGTTCACATAGCCACCAGTGGCATAGCAATTGGGTGTGTTCGCACCACCACCGACACCGCCCCCACTCGATCCGACTATACTGTTCGGTGATGTATTATTGCTATTGTCGTTGCTACTTGAGTTCCCAGTACCTGGCGAGTTACGTTGCGAAGCGCTGCGTCGAAATTCATAAGCCACTCCGCCGCTACCCTTTTGCCGGAAGGTAGCTGCTCCCGCATTCAATCGGATAGGCGGCTTGGCATCTGATGGTGAGTTGTTGTGGTGCACGTGATAGCCGCTATTGTTATTGCTGCTCATAGCAGACACGGTTGGACCGCTGCCATAGCTAGGTGGACCACTAAGCAGCGGTGTCTGCGGTTTATCGCCTCCACCACGCTTGTTCATGCTATGCGGACGTGAGCCCTGATAGCCGCCGCTGCTGCTGCCGGGAGAGGCGCGCGTATCATTGTTGCCGCTTAGTAGAGGCGGTTTGCCATTTGAGGCGCCATTATAGGATGTAGAATTTTGCCGACTTAGTGAGTTGCTTGGATACGCCGGTGGTTTTTTGCTGCCACCCATATTTGTATTGTTGTTGCGTTTATCGTGTTGCACATAAGAGCTGCCATGTGGGCTGCTCATAAGCGTTGTACTGCCGTCTGGTCCACTGGTCACGGTGTAATACTGTGGTGTAGAGCTGCCACTGTAGCCACCACTATTGCTGCCGCCATTCGAGTTCAAAATAGGCGGTGTGGAGAAGAGTGGCGGATTGCGCTGTGCTGTTTGATTAGGTACAGAGTGTGGCGTGCTGGGCGCCGATTGTGAAGCGCTTCCGCCACCACCGCCGCTGTACACTGGCGTTACATTATTCGTGCTGCTTGCACCGCTCGGTGTTGCATGCGAGATGGCCGTGAGCGTGCTGGGATCGACAATCGGTATGGCAGCCGGCCCGGGCGTATGCACGGTGCTGCCATGTGAGGGATGTGTGGCAGCTGTCATGGGCGGGTGATGAGCATAGAATGGGGTGATCACAGCATTTGTTTGTTGTGCATGAGCCGCTGTGCCAGTCAATCCGGTGGCAGCTAATTGTGCTGCCGCCGTTGGTGGAGCGCCAGGTGTGTGCACTTGTGGTGTGCCAGCGGCAATGCCTGCAGCTGCTCCTGCGGCAGCGGCGGCGGGCGCATATGGAAATATATTCGCATGCAGGAGCGCCGCATGTTGAGGCAACGTATACATGGTTGTGGCTGGAGCTGCTCCGCTGCCAATGCTGAGATCAGTTGATGTATTCACAGCTGCTGCTGCCGCAGCGGCGGCGGCTGCTGCTGCTGCTGCTGCACCACCCGGTGCATGCGCCAATGTAAGTGTGGGTACTGCGTGTCCTAATTGATATGTGGTAGTTGCATTGCCGTTGCTGGGGATAGCTGCCGTAACCAGTTGATGATGGCCGCTGTTTTGGTGGCTGGCGTAATGCGAGGAAGTCGGCCGCTTAACACGCCCCGTACCAAAGTACGTCGTACCGCTATGCGTCTGATAGCTGTTTGTGGATGCAGATGCACCAACACCGTGATTTCCACTTGTATGAATGCCGCCAATATGGCTACTGCTACTGCCTAATGACCCTACGGTGGTGTTCGACGACGGTCCAGCCGCCGGTGTGGCTGCAACAAGGCCATTCGCGATATTTATACCGCTAGTGATGTGTGGTCCGGCCACAGATTGGGCGGTTGCTGTTGTAGGGGGTTGTGGCTGTGGCGGTGCTGGTAAGAGCGGAGTGGCTGTAACTGCATTGGTGAGCGCTTGTTGTGGCACATAGTAGGTCATCGGTTGGCTCCAGTAACCTGCAGGAAAAATATAAAAGCAATATATGTACATTAAATAACTGCATTGAAGTATTTCTATATAAAATTGTATTTCTTTAGGAAGTTAGTAGATAGATTAAACTTTGAACTCCTACTGCAATTTATGCCTTCGACAGCTCTCCAACGATTAATTTTACTAATGCAAATATGAATACTACTTATTTTCAATAACCTTGATATTGATACCGATAACGATGATCGATATCGATACGTCGATCAAAAATTAAAAGCCACTTTAATAAAACGGCCGGGTAAGTCGAGAAATTTTCGATGAAATAATCGATAAATATAAAAAGTCGATAAGTATATCGATAAATATAAAAAAATATATGGACATTCTTAAATTGTGCATATATCTGACTCAACATTCAGCTAAACCCGTTTCCCAACAAACTTCATTAAATTTTTTTACTTGAAGCTCCAGATCTCTCTTTCTAAATATCTTCCTTTTAGGCTTTATTTCTGCATATGTCGTCATCATTTTGCCTCCACCCAATCGATTCACTCACCATTATATGCATACGGATATCCGATTGGATAGGTGGTCATCGGTATCTGTTGCAGTTGTCCATTCGCCGGTGCTGCTGCAGCAACTGTCGCCGCACTTGCTGCTGCAAATTGATCGCTCGAATATATCAATTGACCCGGAGCGTAGATGGGCGTACCATTGGCGGTGGCAAATTGTGCGGTCGGATATGCGGCTGCGACTGGTACCATTGTAGCTGTACTTCCTGCCGCTGCTGTAGCTGCAGTCGGATATATGGCCTGTGCTCCAGCTTGTATGAGACCGGTGGCATCGGTACGGGGCTGATTTGGATCAAATACAGGCATAAAATAGCTCTGCACTTCACCCTCCTGCAAAACAGACAACGAATTGAATGGACATTTCAACTGTTTCTGCGGTGCGTGGCTTACAACTGGCGGCGGATAGGCATAAACCATGCCCTGTGGAATGGCATAAACGCTACCATCAGGCTGGTGAATAGAAGAACAAAATACAAAATAATTATGTTCGTTATTTGCTAAAACATACAGTAACTCTGTCTTCTTCCTTACCCCCTGCTGATATGTTGTAGTGCAATATGGTGTGCCACTGGGTGTTGTGGTGGTATGAAATACCGTGGAACCGTCTGGTGCCTGGTAACTTTGCGTATATGTCCACGTAGTGGGTTTAGGTTCCTCGGAAGCGCGATTCTTCGGTTGACTTGTTGACTCGCTGGTACTGAACGGTGTTGAGCGCGCAGAATGTGGTGTCTCACGCTGCAATGGTACGTTCACACTATTTGTGGGCGTTTGACTTTGTGGTGGTGGTGGTGCTGGTGGCTGCGTTGCTGCTGCTGGTTGCATGTTTGTGGCATCTAAAGATGCTACTAAATTCTATAGCGGAGAATGGAAAGAAAAATTACTAATACATGATTACGCAGGCAATTAATTGCAAAACTTACTTCACGCTTTGACAAATCCTCCTTTTCAGCTGGAATATTAGGGCTAGTTGCTTGATTTTTAAATTTCTGCACCTCGATACGATCATAACTTTTGGTGGAAGTTGTGGTGGTAATGCTCAGACAACCAGTGGCAGATGTGTTATCGCACTCGTCAGCACTCAATTGGGTGGACGCTTCTGTAAGGACATAGAATTTTGGGGAAATTTAATTTTGAATGCAATGCGACACACACACACACACACACACACATGCCACACATACCTTCAGTGGCATTCATTGCCATTTCCATGCCAATTCCATCGCAGTTTACATCGCCGCACATAGCCACCGTCTGGGTAGAGGATTCAGATACAGATTCAGCAAGCGGAATGGTAACAACACTTTCATTGCATGGCACGTTCTTACAGTGAATTTGTTGCTGTGGCATCGGTGTCGGTGTTGTGGCCGGTGATGCAACTGGTGATGGTGATGATATCTGATGTGTACCTTTATTCTTTTTTATATTGGTATCGAGCGTTTGTTGTTGCTGTGGCTGCGCTTGCAGCTGCTGTGGTGGCGATTGCTGTTGTGCGTAGTTGGCGGTATTGTTGCCTTGATTTGGATGGTATGTTGGCTGTTGGTTAGGTGGCAGATTGGATGGGTCAAAGTGATAGATTGAACTGCAAAAGAAGTAGAAAAAAAATGTTGTTACTTGATGGCGTATAGAAGAAATTGTTAAAGCTATTATTTGTTTGACAATGTAAATGTATTTGTTTGCGAAAAGCAATTAATATTAAATAAAGCGAATAGCAATAATCACAAAAAAAAACATATTTTAGCTCAAATACAGCAAGAGAGTTTTTACACGTTTGGGGCGTATATGTTTTGTGTGAATTAATATAAAAAGTGCTTTAAGCAGCGTTTAGTGTTGTTTTTTTTTGCTCAAATTAGTAAAATAATTGCTATTTGCATGTATAAAGAACATAAATTGTTATGTTCATATTTTTGTAGTCATTATACATACACACATATGTCCATAGAAACATACAAATTAACAAAGGCAAGGGGAAATATAGTGCTCTAAACTGAAAATATTAAAACTAAACATTGATTACACATCTAACCTAAAACTAAAACGTATTAATAATTCGCGCCTATATTTTAGTTTTTTTTATAAAATAGGTTTAAAATGATTTTTTGCATAAACCTTTTTTGATAAATATTTTCATATACATTATAATTTTTCATATTAGTTTACTTGTCCAAAAATTTTTTAGTGGTTAACTTTTAGTTATACATAACCTATACTTTTTTGCAGTATTATACTTTTTTTTTGCACTCCAAAATACTGCAATTATAAGAAAGAATACTTTTTTTGTTAGCAAAATTTTTTTTTAACGCATAGAAGTAGTATAAATTTAAGAATCGTTGATTCACAACGATATAAGAATTTGTGGAGACACGTTATAAAAATACATACAGTCACGTGAAAAACATAGGGTCACGACATTTTGACCAGTTTTGACTAATTTTATTTCGTTTGTTTAATGCTTATTAATTTTTTTGTTAAAGTGTAGTTAATACTATAACACTTTACGCTGACTACACACGAGGCAACCGTTGAAGCAAATAGGGAACTAGTAGGGCATTATCTACTCCCGGTTTGTATATTATTTTCTAAATAGAACTTTCAATCAGATACCCCTTAAACCAGGGCTTCGGAGCAAAGGTTTTTTTCATCGCTCCGCTCCGGCATTTGATTTCGCTTTAGTTCCGCTCCCGTCTAAAAAAAAAACCTTTTTATTTATTTAATTACATACATATTGAGCCCTAACCGTCAAAAAAATTAGCCGACATTTTTTAAAATTTCCTTTTTATTATGACCCCAATGTTTTTGGTCTTGTGAATAAAATGGCAGATATTAACCCAGCCAGCAAAAAACTGAAAATGAATCCGAAAAAGGAAAAAAATTGAATGAAATGCGGATTTTTGTCCGATTACCGATTCAGATTTTGTATACTTTGACGATATGAAAATTGTTTTAAAATGGCTGCGTTTTTGGCTGTTTTTCTGAAAATTTTCTTCTATTTTCGTTCAATATGCTTTCCTTCTGCACTTCACAAATGCTTTTTCAAAGAAGCGCCTAACGTCATTCGAACCCGACACCTTCAGAAAGCCAATAAAAACTGTCACGAACCTCTGCATGCTCAACCACCGCCGACTACGCAAATGTTCAGTTTAAATGAATAAAATACAACCATTATCGCTATCGAATGTTTTCCGGAATGAAATTTGTAGTCGTTTTCTGTTCATTTCCGGATACGAAAATCGCAATTTTTTTAACCTTTTTAGATACGTAAATAAACGAAAATTGTACTCGCTTTCCATCCGTTTAAATTTTCGTGGCAATTATCCCTGACTACTGGGTACTGTGCAATGAACAGTATTGCCAAGTATAAATATAATGAACATTTATTTAATACGGTTGTTTTCAGTGGCAAAAAAATAAAATTAAATAAATAAATAAAAAATGCTATCGAGCAAATCAATTTTCTTTAGCTCTTTCCTCCAGCTCCGCTCCAGGCAAAATCCTTTGCTCCGCTCCGCTTCGAATACCTGCTTTGACCTGAAAACATTTATGCTATGATGCACACTTTTCTCAATAAGTGAGAATGTAAGTAATACTAAAGCAAATTAGGGGTAAGCCTTAAAACTGGAAATAGCCGAAATAGCCTAATAGGTAAAAAACCAATATATACATATTTACTGATTCCATTATTTATAATACACATGTGTAACACAAATAAAATAAGTGCACATAACTTAATTGGTTATTTACAAATTACAGCAAATTGTGGATTGGACGAATTGGCATATAACTTAACAAGGTAAAATAAACCGGAGTAATCCAGATTTCAAAAAACCAGCTGAATAAAACCTGTTTAAACTGGTTTGAAAGAATTGGACCAATTACCCTAGTAAGTAAACACGGTTCTTTATCAACCTAATCCGCTAGATAATTTACATACATGAAATTTTGATTTGTGTCGTTATTGCAATAGAACAATCGATATGTGGGATATTAAAAAGGAAAAAATTTCCACGCCTAATAATAGACTGTTTAGTCCCTAGCGGTGCTATATGAAGGTCGAACCTTTCAATTTTCCAAACTAAACAACTCCCAGGCCTTTCAGTCGAAATAAATACACTCTTGTTATGGAATTTCAAAAAAAAAAAACACAAATAGCCTTATAGGCTCCATAGACGGTGTGTCTGACTCGCGAGTCATCTGTATAGGTGTTGACTCGCCGTTCGACTGCACACAGTTGAGTAATTCAGAGTGATGTCCATGTAACCAGCACATATTTATTTGACACATCCAAACCGACTCGCGAGATGCCGTAACATATATAAATAAATACTTTTATGAGGAATTATTTTTAGCAAAACGGACTTACAATTTCGTGTAACGTTGTGGGTGGTTCACACTTGCCTGATTATGTGGTTGTGGTTATATATATATATTTTTTTCATTTTACAACAATAAAATACACAACATAACCATTTTTAACCAGATAACTTGATAACTAGGCAAGTTTGAACACCACCATATTCGATTTACTTCCATAAGAGAATTTGCGAATTATTTTTTCCTCTATTTTTCTAAAGAAATATGATCGGTTAGTTTTTGGATTCCGTCTCCAAATCGACTAAGCGTTTACTATTTTAAATCTTTTACATCGGATTTTACTGATAGCATGCACTTCATCTTAGCGCACACTTTTATGTAAATAATCTTGGTATAAAGAAAATTTAAAACAAACTTTAGCTTTTATAAATCAGTTCGGTTTAATAAGGTTAATAAATAAAATTGCTTCAGTATTTTCTAAAGCGTTGCCGAGTGCTTGCACAGTAATAATATTCTGCTGCGCTAGGTGTTGGTGTTGGCTTTTATAGCTAGCATTTGTTATCATAGATTTGCAGATAATTTACGAAAACATTTTTATTTAAATTACATATCATGTGTAGCTTAAAAGTTATGCAAATTAAATTTCGACAGCGGAAACTTGGAAGTACATTTACAAAGTTTGCAAAATGTTAAAATGTATGGCGTGGTATATTGTGGATGAAAAGCTCAATAGACATTAAATAAAAACACATATGAAAATTTACAAACAGTAATAAGTATTGCAACATTGATTTATTAATATTTACATGTGGGTTATTTATAAGACATAATTATCTGAATTCAAAACAGCTTCACGAAAACATTGTCTCGTTAAACGCATAAACTTAATTTTTCTTAATACGAGTATTATGAACATCAATGTAAATAAGCACATAAAAATGAGATGTTGTTCGGTGATAGGAAGGCGCATATTACTTAAGAGCGTCGTGATTAATTTCTTTTCGAAATAGTTTACCGAAGATATGAGGTCGCAGTGTGGCAATCCCCGAGGCTGGGTAGCATCGAACTGTTAACTAAAGACCACACAAAGTATCTGGGAGTACTCTTGGACAACAGTAAGCTGCTGCGGTGGCGCAATGTTGAGGAAAGACTAAAGAAAGGCAGTAACGCCGTATAAATAATGTTGAGAGTCATTTGAGGTTTGTCACCTGCCCCAATGCATTGGTTAAACACAGCAAAAGTCGCACTAATACTGCTCTATGGCGCTTAGGTATGGTGGAATGCTGCTAAAACTATTCATATCTCGGGCCTCGCTGCACTGTGCATCTAGGGAGCATTGAGGTCCACTCCAACGGCTGCTCTAGAAAGTATCCTCAGTTTACCGCCTCTTTACCTATTCGCGGAAAACCGTGCTAGTATAATTTGCAGGCTAACGACCCTAGGGGAATTCAATTATAGAACAGAATTTGGGCACAGCTTAATTGGGGGGGCAAGCACAGGCAGCACAGAACTAAAAGGCACCTTGCTTTAAGGGGGAACGAAAACCTAGCCGTAGATCTCTAAACAACTTCACGGACGGCTCTAAAATGGTAACGGCAGTGGGTGCCGGTAACTGAATGTCGGGCGGGTAAGCACTCAGGTAACTGACCACTGTAGCATATTTCAAGCATGAGGATAGCAGCGGAGTGAGCCTACACCGACACGACAATCGCCTTAAAGTAACTAGTATTTCATACAAAAACGTCCCTCAATTGTTGTGGTCAAGCTAAGCCAACGGAAGGCCTAGAAAGTGTATCAATCCGACGGGGATGGACCATGCGGGCGAGATGATTTGAGTCGAGCGGAGACTCTTCAGAGTATTTATTCTGCTAAAAACTGAGTTACTTGAACACACATTGGAAACGATAGGCTACGGCTGTCAAATTATTTGAACATGTACTCTTATGTAGATAATTATTTTGGTGACGACACGGCAACACCGCGACTAGCCAAAAATGTTGCTGTGGCCAGATTAGATCTATTTCAATTTTTCCTCTTCTTTTATGTCAAACTCAAGCAAATCCACTCATGTCGCCATCGACAAAGCGTCTAAATAATGAAGAAGCTGTAGTCCGTGGCCCGTCGATTTCAATGTGTTCAGCACTTTTGTCTGTTGCAGTTGCCAGTCAGTAAGAAGTTGAGTATGTGAGTCTGGTCCAGTGGTTGGTCTATGTATGTACGTCTAGAACTCGTCCTTCAGTTCATAGACATGCCTTCTGACATGCCTTGGCGAGGTATAGCATAATGTTATGCTCCCTGACAGGCCTTTGAGGCATTTGGACCTCGCTATGGATATGATGCTCTGGCGACATCAGAAGGCATCCTGTGACTGTCCGTACTGCTCTCTTCTGACAATTCTGAAAACCGAGTTGTAAGCTTACCCATTGCTTCTAGGTGGTGAAAAGAGTTGCTAAGGATTTCGTAGGGGAGAGGTTTAGGCTTCTTACAGTGAAAAAGCGAAGTGGGTGTTGTTGCTCGAATGTGCGGACTGTTGAAGCACAGTTTCAGCTGTTTGAAGTATTTTAGGGGCATGCGGATACGAATATGTACATGGCCTGGTGAAATATCTTTCTCATCGGCATCACGATTATGCGAACCTGACCTTTACAAAAGGGAATATACTCGATATGTTTTACTGATGAAAACGTTGAAGCATAAGGAAAAAACGAGTTATAAGTTTTTCAGATAACGATATTTTTTTAAAGTAAAGCATGTAATGTATTTGTTAACTATTTTAGAAATATCTCAACTATAAGTAAATAACCATTTTCTCGAAATACTGTAATATTATCTTAATAGAATTTATGTTTTTTTCACGACATATTTTTTTTTAGTTTTTATTACTCGTAGTACTCGTAGTCATTTCTTTTTGAGCTTAATTGATATTCATAATAAATATTTTAATATATTCTTCAGATAATTATGTATGTATATTTAAAAGCAAAGTAAAAATACAGTTAGAGGAGTGGCGTGCGCATAAGCAGAAAACATTTTGCAAACTTTAGGTATTCAATGCAGCGGTAGACGCACAATCATAGTCGAAATATTTACTGAGAATTGGACTCTTTACAATAATCTGAAACGTTGTTTTTCGCCTCAAACGACTTCAAAACCACAACTTCATTAATGGAGTGCACTACGGGTAGTTTGATCAGTTTTTGCGGTAAAAATTCGTTTTTCGTGCTTACAAGAATTAACTTTTTGTCCTTGGTATTTGATAAAGAAAGCTTCAGACCAACTAAATGTGTCTTTTATTTTTGTAAAAAAGGACCGACAAACGCTTGGCAGACGGTCGAAGTCGTTGTCTGTGAATAAAATATTGGAATCTATTTAATGTTGTTTTTGTTTTTAGCTATTATCGAACAACCATTTTTAATAATAATTATCGAAAAAATTAAAAAAAGGAAAAGAATATAATGAAAAAATTGCTATTTTTAACTGGACATAACTTTTAGTATTTTTTTCCTCCTCCTCCACAAATGTATAAACGAAGGTTTTTGAGTTTAATTTGTCAATTTCATGCAGCGATTTTTTGTGATTTGTAGGAAATACCTTTTTTTTTTTGGTATTCTTGATACTATCAGTAGTGAACTATTGACGATTTGGGATCAAATAAAGAGAGGAAACAAAAGGCTGTTTACAATTTTGTTGCTACAAAGGCTGCTCCTTTTAATTTTTCAGCAGATAAATTAGGAAATTCAAAAATTTCAAATTTTCAATTGAAATTAATATACATTGGCAATATTTTTCAAAAATAGTCACTGTAAAAATTGTTTCTAGATAGACTTTAATAAAAATGATCAGGAAAACTGCATTCAAAATTTTTCAATAGAACAAATAATTAAAAGGTGACCATATTAGACCCAAAGGTCGTCAAGGGTTAATACATTTTTGCAAAATTATTCAGCCTCATTGCTTAAGTCGTAACTACTCAAAAAAAATTGGCATTGCCTACTGTCGTGACGAAATAAGTAGACGACGAAAATCGACGAAAAATATACAGTGCTGCTAAGTTTTTCTGTTTTAACTAGAAGTGTCGAAATTTTAGGCAATGCCATGCAATTTTCGACACGACTCGACTTTTGAAAACGACTTGCGCTGGACAGTGCGGTCGCAATGAGGCTGATTATTTTTTTTTTTGATTAATATATTTTTTGGTGGATCAATTTTTTTTTCAAAACAGTAATGCACACATACATACATAGAAAAAGACGATCGCGTACCAAATTTCAGTGGGATAGTTGCAAAATTGAGGTTCTTCTTTCGTCCTGATAACCATAACGCCTTAGTCAAAACGTAGCAAAATACCTCAGAGCTGCTTATGGTTATGGCGAAAAACTAAAATAAAATAGATAGTCGCACTTTGAAATCAAGTTTTTCAAAAACTTACAAATTTTTTTCTTTTAATCTACTTTGTATTGAATCACAATAAATAAATTGCTAAAAAAGGGATTCTGAAGCCTTCCATCCATTCATATACCATTACACCCCGGACTATGATTAAGCGTCAACGCAATTTTTTCTGTCGCAGCAAGGTTATTAATTTAAAAAAAAAAAACTAATTTTTGAATTTAACATTTTTTGTTTTGTAAATTACCCGTCTTGGTTAACAAATGGTTGCAATGTTTGCGGATTGATTAGCACGCTGCCCTTTGGCACACTAGAAATATCGGTTACGGCCCACACTAGACCACGACTGGGCAGCGTCGTGTCATCCACAATTGGTGTTGGAGTTGGCGTTCCCGCTTCGTCCATGCAATGCGCAGGCATGACGCCGGCACTGCATAGAATCGTAGGCTGCAAATGAAGATTGACTGGTGTTTGTAGGTGACAAACTGTAATTCCATCCGGCGTTATAATTAATGGCTCCGACGCTTGATCCTCGCTACAGTAGCCATTCGGTGATGGTGTTACCGAATCGGAATGCACCGATTGTGTTTGAGTTTTATAACTATGATTGTAGTAGTTTGTAGTTTGGGCAGTGATGGTTATAAATAATTGTAAAAATTATAACGTTCATGGCAATAATAGTAAAATATAATAAAAAATTAATTAAATCACTTAAATTTTCATTTTAGTTTCGTAATGAGCTAACTTTTAAGCCAAAAGCCATAATTTTTTTTTATTGTAAATTACAATTTGTAAACGAATTTATCTTGGATGCAAGAAAAACTTTACAAAATAACTTTAAAGTATGTAAATTGTTTCATTCCGTTAAAGCTACACTTACCCGCTGCTGGAGGGCGACAAGCGCCAAGGTGTATTTGTGCTGCCAGCTGAATCTTGTTTAGAAAATGAACGCGCACCACCACCACTGTTTTTGTTTGAGTTTGCCGAGTCGCCGCGCATCATAGGCGGCCCACCACCACCGCCACCACCTTGTGATGGTCCGCC